GATAATAGTGTTTGCAATGAAGTAAAGTGATAATAAAAAAAAATAACGTGTAGGTACAGCGCAATAATAATATTATTATGTTTATTTATTACAATAATATTGTCGATTTTCGAATAAATCATTCTGGACGTGGTAAACGAGTTTTTTTTTTAATTTTAACAAAATATTTCTATTTTTAACAAGTTATCGACGGGTAGTCCAAACAATTGAAACGCGGAAGAGTTTTGTTAAAAAAAGAATAATATACAGGGTGAGACATTCAACATAATATCTTAAAATAATAGCAACTTTGTGGTTTGTCTTTTTTGTAAAAAAATAAAAAATGTCTTTCCATGTTATTTTACATTATATTATTATATGTACATATAAAATGACAAAATATTCATTTTTTTTTTTACCATTGCTTTCTGGATCTTTATCAACTTTAACAGTAACGTATACCTATTGTGTTTAGTTTAAATTAAGAATAATTAATTTAAAACGCCTACTGGTCGACAACCAATTATTGTTGTTGTAATAATCACTTAAATCTAGAATTTAACAAAAAAAAAGTATATATATATTGTATACAAATTTGAATATCGTTTCACGCAGAAAATGAAAAACTACAAAATAGCGATTATTTTCAAAGAAAACGATTGCTTCGCGTTTAAACGGAGCACCCTGTATTAATGGATTTACAAATAATAATTATAATATTTAAATAAACGCAATTCTAATGATTTATTATGATTTTCTTATTGTCGGAGAAATAACGGTCAAGAAAAAAAGTAAATAAATTCCGTATTTCTCGACGGAAAACAAACTGGATTTTAAAATAATATTATCATTCGTGCGAATCGCTATTTGAATAGTATGACTGATTTGTTGTTGGTGTTTTTTTTTTTTTTTTTTACCTTAAACCGTTTTAGCAAACGTCTAAGCGTTAAATGTGTATATAAAAAAAAAAATCACAGTTAAACCAGCACAAAAGGTAACTAAATATACAAAATTTAGCACAATCATAATATTGATAGTCTAAAAAAAAAATAAAAAAAACTCATTCTATCAAGACGGTTTCCGAGTATTCTGATTTTAATATGTTTTTTTTCTACTGTTTTATTATAGTTTTTTTTTTCACCATAAACTTGCATTAAACGTTGATCATAATAAATTGCTAATAGTTTACTTTTTCCGGTCGGCTTCGGTTGAATATCGGCCTATAACCGATTTACCTAGTTAAACGGTTGTGGATTACCGACAGCTGATTTAAATAAACATAGTAAATAGGTTAAAATAATTATTGAAAATTTGTCTAAAAACCTTTTTTTTTTTTAGGAAGGAAGCTGAAAAAGTAGAGGAAAACCTAAACTAACGGCATGAAAAATAATTTAATTGATAAATAGATACAAGTAATGACATTTCTATGTGATAAATATTATAGTTAATGATCTATTAATATCTATTCAATGTGTTGTTTGTCACGTAACAATTTTTTGTTATTGAAAATGTCACAACGGTATTACAAAGTGTACAACTTAGGTGAAATTTAAGTAAACCTGTAAATTTGCCATTTATAACTTGTTGTTTTGCTACTAACATAACACCATTAACCCGTTTGACTAACAAAAAATTGGTCACAAATTAACTGTACTATGTAACAAATTATTAGCTACACATCATTCATGGGTGGTGATCGATGAGGGGATTATGACAATGGATACTATTGAAATATTTAAAAGCCCTTTTAAAAAATTATTAAAAATTGCTTTCGGGGCGCTGAATATTTATTGACACCCTTTTCTGGAAGACTTTTAGCATGATTTAGCAAAAAAGTTTAAGTCCACTCTAGCCTGATTTAATCACAACAAGAAGTATAATAAGTAATTAGCAAGATTTTTTTTTTATAATTTAACAATTTGTTGACAAGAAAAAATTTAATAAAAACAATAATATCTTCAAATTAAGTTGTTAAATCTTATCAACAAACATATTTATTAGATATTCGGTATAGACATTTTTTTAGCCTAGTATTCTTTTTTTTTTTATGAAATTCAATTAAGTACTACCAAATGCGAATTGATTAGCTAGCAGATTTTTTTATAACAACATCTCTCACATCGTTGTTTTAAAATTATTACTGTAAAACCATTTAAAATATTTGTTGTGTAAAAAAAAATATATATTTATGTATATATATGCACAGAAGCAATTGCCTCTAATTATCGCCAATGATTATATTTTCTAGTGATCACAAACGACTCCGTAATATGGTCTACTTTGTGAGATTTGTGTTTACAGGATGATCCATTTAACGGTATGTAAGACACACAGGATCTCAGAAGACAATTGCAATATTTCGAGATTTTTTAGTCTTGTAAAAAAATTGTTTTATTATGTTATTTTCACACTAAACATTTGCCTTTTTTTACAGAACTCTAATAATTATTATTATTCAAACTGGATATCTACTGGTGTAATACAAAATCAACTAGAACGTCTTCCCCCCCCCCCTCTAAAAAAAAAAACTACAAATTGTAATTATTGTCAGGGAAAATTAGCGTTAAACGGGAGCACCCTGTATAAAGCGACCGAATATTGTGATTAGTGCGCACGTTTAAAACGGTCGTTAATAATTATTCTAAGGCTCATTAATTATTATCTTTAGGCGCATTGTTTGCATCTGTGTATTATATTAGCTATAGAGGTATATAATAATGATAATAATGTAACATAAAGGTAGAATATTATAATATATATTATATATATATTATTATCGTACCTGCGTACGAACGACCATCGTGGCCAGGTCGTTAAACGAATACTAATAACAATATAAAATATAATATGTAGGTCCTGAAACTTTTTCTTAAGAAACGCATGGCATGTACACCTACTACTCGGTGATTTACTCGGTCTACCGTCGGACACTTGTGCTGTTAATTATCAACAATTGTCCGAGCCGAGGAGGGGTATGGAGAGAGATAAGTGTGTGGCAAACTTAAAAATTTAAACCGTGTGGGATTTTGCACTGGGCCGCCCAAACGACACGGTGAGTCATTAAAGTCTCCACAGACACTCTGAGATGAATATCCATACGACAGTTAAGGTGTGTCGGCCCAAAATTAACACAAAGACCTCCCCCGCCCCCCAGTTGTTTTCCAAAATAGCGTAGACTTGTATTGGATTAGTGTGGCTTACCCGTAAAGCACGCGGGTAATAATAATATTATGTTTTAATGTTACTATTTAACACCGCTTGTACCTTTTCCAGCCGTTTGTATTCATTATGGCCGAGAAATGTACACGGTTGGACCGACTAAAATAATAACTATATGGTTAAAATATTTGGGGACATGTTAAATTCGTGCTCGGAATAACAAAATACCAAACAGCTTTTGTACTTAGTAGGCCAAACTAAATACACACAAACATTATACTATAGTTTTGCTCAACACATAACCCGTTAGGTTTTGATTTAGGGTAAAGTGTTTCAAGAGTTGATAGTTTTGTAAATTTCCCCGAAAAAAAATAATAAAAAATTTGAATAATACAAACTAAATTGTTTCGAAAACGAAAACTACAAAATTGTTATTATTTTCAAAAGAAAACGGGTATGCAACGTTTACCCTTTCAGTACCGAATTAAATTTCATAATACATTTTCTTAAAATTTGAATATTAAGAAAAAAAAAATACACAGTGTGTATTTATACATATATTACACTTCACTGAACGTAAAAGTTAAATCAACTATAATGTGTGATAGTGATCGCGTGTTTAAAAATACCGTTATCTATAATTATCTCCAAAATTGGCGGGAAGCTTATATTTGTACGACAGTGGGGCCGAATAGTGAAATACCTAAGTAATAAAAATCCAATATCATAGGCTTCAAACACTAGTTGTAGTCCGTAAGTCCAAATAGGTTTAAGCAGAGTTATAAATATATGGATATAAGGATACATATATACACAGGATAATCCAACTAACGTTAGACACTCATTTTCTTGGAAAATATGAATATTTTGAGAATTTTTTCTCTCCTAAACTCTTAGGTACATATTTTACTAGATTTTTCAATATTTCGAAAATTATTATCACCAATCCTTTTAAGCCAAAAAGTGGGATTTCTGGCATTTTTTTAAGTGGCAACATATGTTTGTAGCAAATAAATAAAAAAAATATGTTAGCGTTTGAATTTTGATCTATTTGTTCATTTGTTAAGACTTTATAAAAATTAGACTTTTTCACTGTATTTCTTAATATCTTCAATCGTTACTACAAAGTGATATAGTAAATAACCTGTAATCTAAGTAATCTGTAGATAAGAACCGTTTGTCGATCATTATTTCAAAATCTTTTATAATGACTTCCTAGTCGTTAGAATGTTATCGCCGATTGGACAATGCGAACATAAATACAAATTTTATGTGCTACCCGTTTTGGTAAACCGAAGAAATATGATAATTATCAAGAGGAAATGTAGTATCTTTACATAACTAATGAACAGATAAATGAAAAAAAAAATTCAAACGCTAACATATTTTTAAATGTTTTGTCTACAAATTTATATAGTTAAAAACGTGTGTTACCATTTAAAAAAATACCTCTTTTTGGCTTATAAGAATTGGTGATTGAAAATTTTCAAAATATTGAAAAATGTAGTCAAATATGTACCTAAAAGTTTAAAATTGTCCAAATATTAATGTTTTTCTAGAAAATCAGTGTCTTACGTTAGTTGGATCACTCTGTGTGTATATATATGAGGATATAAGGATATATATATATATATATATATATATATATATATTTCACACAAGGATATATGTGGACATATCCGTGTATTGATGTATCATGTATATCTGCATGGATACTCTCGACTTGTGTTTACTCAGTTTTCTTGGAACCTGTTATTTTTTTGTCTAGCTCTTTGGCTAAAATAGCCCCCCCCCCCAAAACGCCTTAAGCCGGTTAAAGTTAAAATATATTGATAACAATGTGTGTGTGCGATGACACTCACCCGAGTTGGCGGTCTTGGCCGGCATGGCGGCGAACGACACACAGGCGCCCGTCTCGTAGGTGACGGCCGCGCACTGGTCGTCGTCCCTGCAGGCGTCTATGCACTGCGGCAGGGCGAACAGGGCCATCTGGTCGCGGACGGCGTGCTTGGCCGCCGGGCTGGCCGCGTAGCCGGTGAGCAGCTCGAACCCGACGCGGCCGCCTTCCTCGCACCGGTGCAGCTGCTGCTGGAGCGCGGCCGACAGGGCCCAGAGGCAAACCACCACCGCCGCGGTGGCCGCGTTTAGGAACATACCACCGGGGCTTCTTGGGTAGGAGGTGAAAATCGCCTGGTAATTGATATCACACAAAATATCGGCTATTAAACGCGGATCGCGGTTTTTTCGCGTTATTTTCGGGGGGGGGGGGTTTCTGGTGGACGGAACGGCGAAACCAGCGAACGAGCGAACCACCGCAGCCGTACGAATGCGACTGTCGCACCGGTCCAATGTAAATAAATATCATCGTGTGGGCACAACGCGGGCACGTGGTCTCGGCCGCGGCCGTGCCGTCGAGAGCGGGAGAAAACGGTTGTTGTTGCCGCGGAGGCGGGACGCGGCCGCCGCCGCCGCCGCCGTGTGACCGGTTGCCGGCGGTTTCCCACCGCGTCGCGCGGTCTGAGAGCACCACGACGCCCGGCACTGTGCAGTGGTGGTCTGAGAAGAGCTGGCCAAGAGTCGAATTTCAATTTCTGGTCGACACCTTATCACTACCGTTTAACTATCATATCTATATGAAAAAAAAATTCAGGAGTTTGAACTCATGAAACCGCGTTGATTCAAACTAAGAACGTTTTTAAAGGAATAGGTAACATATGGAGTAATCAGTTTTTCCAGGAGTTTAGGCAAACAGGATAATTTAGAGATAGGTCTATAATTCAATACAGAATTTTTATCTCCAGACTTATAAATATGAGAAACGTAATTAGTTTTCCAATTTAAAGGCACAATACCCAATTTTAGTGATTGATTAAATATTTTATGAACTGGAATAGATAAAGAATATTTACAAGAGTTCAGTAAATCTTTAAAAAGGTTAAGAACTTCTGAGCTACCTGATACTAATTCTTGGTTATAACTTATAAAACATTTGGTTAGGTGTGGAATTATCAGTTTGCATAAACATAATTTCAGTATGATGCGGCTGTTAGATAGATAGATTTTTTTTCGATTATATTGTCTGAAAATATTTTATTATCACTATAAATTAATGGAAACATTTAATTTGTACAAATAAGTATTCTAAGTTGTATGTGTATTTTAACAAAATAACGACATAGTATACTTATATATTTTGTAGACGCTTTTCATTATTGTAATAAACATTTTAATGTAGGAAATGATTTGTAAAAATGATATTTTTCGGTTTGTCAACGCGTGTATTGATCACGTTCTCATATTTTCAAAAACACATTTTAATCTCTAACTAAAATGTTGTCAAAAACATTGCTCGCCCATTTTGTGTGGAATTCCCATCGTCAAATAAGATGTGCGTTAAAAACAAATTTACCTACCTGATAAAATATGTTTTATGATTATAAAAAGAAAACGGTGGTTCTAACTTGACCTTTATAAGTCCGTTTGAACTGTTGAACATTCTGCAGTCTGTGATATATTCAAGGATAAAAAAAAAAGATAACCAGCTGTCCCTTCTGGGGAAAATGGTTAACGATATTTTAACGGTGTAACACCTATGTAGGTGTCTACCCGTTCCCAAGAAATATCAAATATAGTTTGGCGGTTTTTTGATTATTTTCCCATTGTTGTGTTGTGCGTTGTTTGAAAATATAAAAAAAATAATGTGAAAAAAAGGGTCAGAAGTTTGAACGTTTTCGTTAAATTCGACACATAGAGATGGAAAGTAACAGCAACAGCAACAATAAAAGTTTAATAATCAGTGCACCAACGAAAACAAGTGCCTGTAATTATTATGATCCATGCCGAGCTCATTTATTATTCTTAATCTAATAAACAAAGTAATCAAATTTTTAATCAAACGAATGCTTTCGAAACGTTTTCTGAAAACACATACAAATGAACAAACTAAAATAAAATAACTTTTACAATATATAGTTATGAGAATTCTTTACCGAAACCTTAGGTCTGAGAAAATACCCTTTAACAAGCTTATAAAAATATATATTGTTGTTATTATTTTTCACCGTTATTGTTTGACAATTGTTAAAAAATAGATGGAAACGAATTTTGTTTTCTTCAACCTAAAGTTACCAGAAAATATTTCTTTTAATTTCGTTTGTCATTTTTATCTACCGTTTATTGTTATTTTCATTTTTTTTCCATTATTATTTTTATAACTTCAACAATCTAATTACTTTTAGTGTAATTCTAGGAGAATGATAGATGATGGATGATAAAATATGTAAACGGCTAAAAATAAGTCCTAATTAATTAGCATTGGCACGGTTAGCTTCTGGTTAACACCTTATCTATAATACCAATTGAAACTTATTCGCATGGTATTCACAAATAATTGAAGCGCAGAAAAGGTTCACTCTCACATATTCTATTCCTCCAATTACAACTTTTTTATATTGTTATTATTTCAACGATAATTCCCAAAACATTGAATTCCGCCATTTAATGGATCGTTTAACATGGATATTTTACTGGGCTGGATACAAGAAATTTAATTTCACCATTTTCGCGTTACACTTTCACTTTCAGTTGGAGATATGGGCTAAGAGGTTAGTTATTAGAGATAAGAGATAAGTGATAAATGAGAAGAGACAAAACTTAAAAGAGAATAAATATAAGTGATAAGAGATATGAGATAAGTGATAAGAGATAACATATCTATGATTAAATGTTTTTCCGTGGTGCGGAGCAAATAACTAGGTCTATACTAATGTCATATATTTTTTCTTTTTAAAATTTAGGTCAGCTTGAATTTGATATATTTTATTAAGTACTCTAAAATGTTTAAGGTAATTAGCACTAAATTAAATTTTCGCGAGATTAGTTGTTATTTGCCACTCAATATGCATCTCGAGGAGACTTCAGGAGAACCGACAGTCTTAACTCGCTTAGCTTAACTTATGTGGTTATTCATGTTGGTTTATTGTGGTTCAATTTATGCGTGGCTGACCGCTGGCAACCATGAAGCCGAAAAATTATATGAAATCTTTTATTTAATTATTTTAAATCGTTTTTTTTGCTGATCTATTGTAGGAAAAATGTTAGATTTCTTTGCAATTAAACGAGTAAAATAAGTTAAACATATTTTCAACCCTTAAAAAAAAAATTATTTTAGGGTACTAAAAAAGGGTTAGTTCATCAATGTTTTCATAAATTTTACTTTCCAAGGTTTAAATATTAGTTCATAACATCCTTTTTTTTTTGGGGGGGGGGGGGTTTTGACGGTATAAAGTTGTGAATAAATTTAATTATCCAAGTTGAAACTCGAAATCCATTCGAGACGTTTTTGATGTGGGTTTATGAGCGTTTGTTTTACACAAAACCCGAGACTTTCTATTAAGTACAGTTGAAAACATTGCTCGCCCGCACAAGTAATGCTTGAAATAACAATGAGCTTACTATTTGCATTCGGCATTAGGTACGCGTTCGCGCCATAGATTTATCTCTATCCGCTTGTCGCGGTTAATGTTTTAAATAAACACCACTCTGTTGACCTTGGCGCCCAAGTGTGTTTGTTTTATCGTGTAGCTCTTAAGTCGTTCTCAGTCGTTAAACTACACTGCATGCATCTACTTTTTGCCGTTGAATATATTACCGTAGATTATTATTGTTGTTTCTGTGTAAACAACAACCGAACGATAATATTATTTCCAACGTGTAATGTGCTTAAAACGGCGCCGAAGGTAGGCCAAATTGTGCGTTCACCAACGCCTTAACGTGAGCATGAAATATATAATATGAACCCAAAAGCTGTGTTTTTTTTTCTAAATTTTATTTCGACTAGGATTAGGATGGTTAGGATTTCATCAATTCTATACAAATATATAAAAGTTGTTTGGCGACTTTACGGATACCTAACCGGATTTTTTGATTTTTATTATGTAAGAAAATTGGGTTTTAATATTGGGAAAAAAGGGAAATCTAATTTTGTTTAATTACAAGAAACTGAAATTGTTTTAATGAAAATCGTACATAACATAGTAAAGTAGCCAAAAAGAACTCGAACCTCTTTACAGAATTGTGAACCTCTTTTATCTTGAATGTTGCCTACACAGAACTCCTTAAAAACAGACCACATGCAATCCTCTCAATGGCAACCGCAAGAGCTATTAAGGGGCATAATAAAAGCAAATATTTGGCAAAATTTGAACTAGGAGCCGTTTTGAATATTATGCCGACTTATTTAAACAAATTAAAAAAAATGTTTTTGAAAAAAAACTACTACCAAAGTGTAATTATTTTCAGTGTATAGAAACAGATTCATTGTTTATCCCTATAACCGTTATTATTTTAGATTGCGCACAACAACTTAAACTTTACAATAGTTATTATTACTTACTGTTTCAAGTCCAACTATTGTATACATCCTAAAACATTGTTATTGGGTTTAGCCCGTTTAAGTATATCTATATATACATAGAGGGTGATCTAACGCAAGACACTAATTTTCTCTGAAAACATGAATATTTTGAGAATTTTTTTTCCCTAAACTTTTAGGTACATATTTTACTATTTACATTTTCTAACTAAAAATATGATAGCGTTTGAATTTTGAATTTTGTATTTCTTAATATTTTCCCTGACCTCCTAGTTGTTAGAATGATAACGCCATTTGGACAATGCGAACATAAATATGAATTTTATGTGCCACCGGTTTTGGAAAACCGAAGAAATATGACAACTATCAAAAGGAAATGTAGTATCTTTACAAAGTCATAGCTAATGAACAGATAATTGAAAATAAAAAATTCAAACGCTAATATATTTTTAAATGTTTTGTCTACAAATTTATGAAATTAAAAACTTGTGTTGCCACTTAAAAAAAACCAAAAATCCCCCTCTTTGGCTTATAAGGATTGGCGATTGAAAATTTTCAAAATATTGAAAAATGTAGTAATATATGTACCTAAATGGTCCTAAATATTTTTATTTTCAGTGAAAATCAGTGTTTTACGTTAATTGGATCACCCTGTATATATACAGATATACTTGCTAAATGGGCTAAACCCAAAAACAATGTTTTAAGTTATATACAATAGTTGGACTTAAAACTATCTATAACAGTAAGTAATAGTAACTATTGTCAAGTTTAGGTTGTTGTATGCAATCTAAAATAATAACGGTTATAGGGATAAACAATAAATCTGTTTCTATACACTGAAAATAATTACACTTTGGTAGTAGTTTTTTTTTCAAAAACATTTTTTTTAATTTGTTTAAATAAGTCGGCATAATATTCAAAACGGCTCCTAGTTCAAATTTTGCCAAATATTGCTT